TGTCTGCCCCGCACCCTCTCTGCACCTCCCTGCGACCCCGCCCCCGTCGCGGGCTGAGGCCGGGTCCGCCCCCTCCGCCCCGATGGACAGATGGACAGAGGGACAGAGGGTCGAGGCGGGTGGGAGGGGAGCGCGGCCGCTGCCGGGAAGGGGCGCGGTTTTGGGAAATCAACACAGGGCGGGGCGGGGCCGGCTGGACACGGCCCGCACAGCTCCGACCGGCTTCCCCTCGGTCCGCAGTCCCGGGTCGCGGGTCGCGATGTGGCCCAGGCGGACCCCGCGCGCGCCCTCGCTGCTGCTGCTGCTGCTGCTGCTGTCGCCCGCCGCGGTGAGGGGCCGAGGGGCGCGGGGACAGGGTCGGGACTAACCCTTCCGGATCGGGTCGGGTGGGGGTCAGGTCCCGCAAAGCCCTGGCAGCGGCCCTGGGCCAGAGGCTGCTCCCGGCCTCCTGGTTCCGATTTACAAAAGGGAGAGTAGTAGAGGCCCCTGGCCCGGAGGGCCCGAGGGGAAGAAGGAGGAAAGGCGCGGTCAGAAAAGGAGCTGTGGGGCCTGTCCCGGGCTGTGCCCACCTGTGCCCACCTGTGCCCGGCTGTGCCCGGCAGTCCAGGCTGCGCCCGGTGGAACAGGGGTGCTGTTGCCAGGCAGGCTGGCAGGAGGCCCCCAAAGCCAGGTGGGGAGCCAGGACTGCCGGCCCCAGTGGGCTGCAGGTGCCCTGCCTCTGCCGCAGGTGAGGAATTCTCAGAAGGAATCGGTGAGCCCAGTGGTTCGTGAGACAGAGTTGGACAGGCGCTGGGAGCAGGTGCTGGGCCTGGGGAGGCCCCGGGCTGACCAGGCATTTATCAGGCCGGGTGCTGGGGTGGGCCATGTAGGAGTGTGTCCCGGGGCCCGGTCTGCCTGCGCCGTGGCCCGTTGGAACCGGGGCCGCCGTCCTCTCAGCAGTGGCTCCAAGCGCACTGGGCAGGCCAGGCCCAGCGCCCTGGTCACGGGCTCCGGCTGCTGAGGCCCAGGGGAATTTTCCTGGAAGGACGGGAAAAAACTGGATTAAATTTTGTCTCCAAACCACACTTTTTCTTTAAAATCAAGGGTTGAATACAGACTTTGGGGCTGCGAGAGGGGTCCGCTGTGGGACCCTGGCTTCCCCTTCCAGCTTCTGCCCCTCCTGGACCCCCAGGGCTGGCCCCTGAACCAGGCTGAGCCTTGGCTTCCTTAGCTGAGGGGGCGGGTAAAACTTGGTTTCTTAGCCCCGGAGCTGCTGGTGTTAGGAGCTGGAGGACTCACCCCAAGGGGCTGTCCTGTGTGCCGCGTCTGGGTCCTCTGCCCTCTGCCCTCCTCTCTGTCTTAGGACAGCCCGAGGGCAAGCCTCCGGACCTGCCAGATAGCCCGGGGTTCGCTTTTCCTCCCCCCATCTTTCCCACCCTTTTTCTGCCCTTCCTTTGGGAATGCTCCTCAGTGGGGTGCAACCCCGTTTGGGAAATGCACGGCCCTGTAACAACGGCCACAAGTTCAAAGGTCTGTTGCTGGCCAAGCAAGGGAATCCAGGCACGCAGATACATACAGGAAAGCCCGGAGTGGTGGCGCAAGCTTGTCATCCCAGCACTTGGGAGGCTGAGGCAGGAGGATCCCTGTGAGTTCAAGTCCAGCCTGGGCTACACAGTGAAACCCTATCTCAAAAAGAAGGAAGAAGAAACATTCCTTTGTGGCGATGCTTGGACAGAATAGAATCCACGACTTTTTCTCCTGCATGGGGGTCCCTGCACCCCCCACCTCCAGGGCTGTCCCCTCGGGAAGGTGGTGGCCGCCCGGGGTGGCCCTGCGATGCAGGCTGCTAAGCCCCGTGTCTCCGACCGCAGGATGGAACCTCCTCCAGTGCTCCTGCGCCCAGCTCGGAGGCTGCGCCGCAGCAGGACGGCGGAGGCGCTGACGTCCCCGAGGCGGTACTTGCCCGAGGCTCCGAGCGCTCTTCCACCCTGCCGGCAACCACCCTTGTGACGACCACCGACGACTCCCCCACCCGGGCCCACACGGAGCTCCGCACGGAACCCTCCGCCCGGCCCCCCTCGGAGCAACCTGCAGAGCCCTCCACCAGGGTTCTCACGGAAGCCCCCACCCCGGCCCCCACGGAGCCCCTCTGCCCCCCGCCTGTCGCCCCCTGTTCCGACGCCGCCACGCACGCGGCGGAGGCCATCCTGGGGGACGCGCTGACCGACTTCGCCCTGAAGCTGTACCACGCCTTTGCGGCCACAAAGAGCTCGGAAACCAATGTGGCCTTCTCCCCCTTCAGCATCGCCGGCCTGCTCACGCAGGTCCTGCTGGGTGAGGCTGGAGAAAGGGTTCTGTGGGGGCGGGGAGGGGCCTCGCTTCCTTGTGGTGATGCACACACGCTTGCGATCCCAGCACTCTGGGAGGCTGAGGCAGGAGGATCCCAAGTCCAGGCCCAGCCTAGAGCAACTTCACAAGAGGCTGGCTCAGAGTAAAACATTAAAAAGGACTGGGGGTGTGGCTCAGCGGGAAGGCCCTGGGCTTAAGCCCAGTACAGAACAGTGGCCACAACCGTGACTTAATAGGCACTGTTAGTTGAACCGTGGTTCAAGGTAAGGTGGCAAGATGGAAGTGAATCACCCAGGACAGGGCCGGACTAGGGTCCCTCGCGGCTGCTTCCAGCTTCCAGCTTGTCGGGCATGGGTGTGCCCCTTAGCCTCTCTGAGCCTGACCAGAGACGGTGAAATCCACCTCGAGCGGTAAGAGGCAGAGCGCCTACCTGGCTCAGCAAGAGGTCAAAAAAATGTTAAACCCTCTGCCTTCCCGAGGGACTCATTACCCCAGAAATGGCACAAACACACTGCCAGCAGCAGTGGGGATAGAGCAGTCCCTCCCCGCGGACTGCAATCCGGGTGGCAGCTGGAGACAGTACAGTCAGCACAGGACTTCCTTCCAAGCCCGGCGTGGTGGCGCTAGCCTGTCATCCCAGCACTCAGGAGGCTGAGGCAGGAAGATCGCGAGAATTCCAGGCCAGTCTGGGCTACATAATGAGACCCTGTTGCCGGGTGTGGTGGTGCACGTCTGTAGTCCCAGCACTCGGGAGGCTGAGGCAGGAGGATCATTGTGAGTTTGAGACCAGCCTGGGCTGCAAAGTGAGCTCAAGGCCAGCCTGAACTGCATAGTGAGACCCTGTCTCAAAAAGACAATAAATAAATAAATAATGAGACCCTGTCACAGTAGTAATACTAATACTACTAATAATAATAAATAATGGTCTGCTGTTCCTTGCCTCTGGGGTGAACCTTTTAAAATCCAAATCAGCTAAGTAAGAGTTCATGTAAAACAGGCAGTGGTCAAGCTTGGCTTTGAAAGATGCATGAGATTTAAACAGGCGGTGACATTGGCAAGGAAATTCAAAGCCCTGGAAAAGCCTAAAAAGCCTGGGGTCCCTCTCATTCCCCCGCCCTATCTCTGACGTGCACTGCGGGGGTGATCAAACTAGGGTGAATGTTTAAACAAAGATTTATCATAGTGAAAGACACGCTGCCGTGAACCCCCAGCCCTCCCCCTCCCTGGGGACACACTCGCCCCACCGCCCTGGCCTCTTCCTGCAGCAGCTCTGGAGTCCTCCTTCCTGAGGGTCTTTATGAGGTGTGATCAAAAGTACAGTGAGTGCTGCCGCCCAGCACCGCCCACTGGAAGGGCAGCTCGGAAACACGAGGCCGCGTCCACGTCCACCTTACTCACCCGAGCTGGCACCGTGACTTCTAGCTCTTCCTCAAGTCAAGAAAGGTCAATGTTTGCATCAGGGCAGCCAGGACAGCACAGCTAAAGACACTCAGGGAGGAGGACTGCAGAGCTGCTGCACGCAGTGGCCAGGACGGTGGGATGAGTGTGTCCGAGGAGGGTTCCGAGGGAGTTTGTAAATATAAACGTTCGCCGTGCCGTCTCCCCTGCTTGTCTCCAGTGACCTCTGCCCTTTTCTGCAGGGGCCAGCGACAGCACCAAGAGCAACCTGGAGGGCGTCCTCTCCTACCCGCAGGACTTCTCCTGCGTCCACCAAGCCCTGCAGGCCTTCGTGTCCAAGGGCGTTACCTCCGTCTCCCAGATCTTCCACAGCCCAGGTGCGTGGCGGTGGGCAGGCGCTGGGAGGGGACAGCAGGGCTGTGGGCTCCAGGGCGTCTGCAATGGGGGCCGCAGGTTTCCAGTGGCTGTCTCCTGGCTGGACCTGGGCCAGGCCTTTGGTTCCTGCCCAGCTGTGCTTGAAGTTATGATCCCCATGACTCAGCCTCCCTGGGGGACATAGCAAGGCATGTTTCAGCTGTTCAGGTCAAGGGAGTCTTACCTGAGGTTCCCGTCCTTTTTATTTTGTGTTATGTGAATTTGTCCTTCACGTGCGTCATAAGAGGGGGTGAGAAGTAGCACGAGATAATCGGAATAAACTTCCACGGCGACCAGGTGTCCTTGTCCCCAGCTTGTTCTCCAAAGCCCTAGGGTTCTGCAGATGGCTCAAGAGTCCCAGGGTGGCGGGGATACGAGGAGGGATGGGACACCACTTCCTGGGATAGGGAGGTGACCAGCCACGGCCTACAGAGCCTGTTGAGGTTTTGAGCTCCACAGGTGACTTTGAAAGTGCAGTTTGGCTGTTTTAAAATGTTTACAGTCACAAATCTCCATCGTCCCCCGGGAAGGGCGCACAGGCGGCTCCCGAGTGGGGGCTCCTGAGCCGTGCTGCTGTCCGCACAGGTGCGCAGGTCGCCGTGAGGAGACGCCTCCAGCTCTCAAGACAGGGAACAGCTGGGTCAAACGGAATTTCTAGTTTCAGTTCTTCGAGGAACTTCTGTGGAGAAACCCAAAGTCTACATAATTTTTGTAAAAAACAAAAATAAAAGACAACATAAAAGGAAAAATAAAAGATAATAAAAGGAAACAGGAAACAAGGAGAGATGTTTTGCGGATCGGAAGGGGACCAAGAGATGGAGGAAGCCAGGCGTGGTGGCACACGCCTGTAAGCCCAGTACTTGGGAGGCTGAGGCAGGAGGATCGTTGCGAGTTCGAGACAAGCCTGGGCTACAAAGTGAGCTCAGGGCTTACTTTTTTACTCTGAACTGCATAGGAAACCCTGTTTCAAAAAAAGATGGAGGAAAGGTACAGACGGACAGTGGGCCCTAAGAAGAATTAAGATGCGTCCCGCACGTGTGCCGGTCCCTAAGAGGAAAGCAGGCACTATGGACTGCAAATGTGTGCCGATAAAAACGTCACAGAGCTGGCCTCGCCTGCCTAGATCAAGGGAGGGAACGTGTTCCTCTGTATGAGCGTAGGCACGCGTAAGAAAAGGTGTGAAACAAAAAAACATTTCTTGCTGCCTTGTTTTAATTCCACAAGTAATATTTACTGTAGAAAATGGAGAAAGATACAGAGTAGAAAGGAAAAGGAAGGAAACAGAAAATACCTAGAAAAAGCTTTCTCCTATGGGAGAAATGTGGCTTTCCGGTGTCATAAATGCTGCTTATACTCACTTGCCGTAAGCCACCTTTGTCGCCTCTCCAGCCAGCTTGGTGCAAATAAACCACGCTCAAGGCTGTAGGGCTTCTGGTCCCTGGTGCTCCTCTGGGTGTGGGGAGGTCCTGGGTCTTGTGCTGAGATTAAGCATCAGCAAAGCCAGGAGAAGGATCTCTGCCTGTGTTTTTGTTGTTACTGTTGTTTTGAGACAGGATCTTGCTATGTAGTCCTAGCTGGCCTTGAACTCACTGGGTAGCCCAGGTGAGAACTTTTAGAGATCCTCCTGCCTCAGCCTCCCCAGTGCTGGGATTACAGGTGTGCGCCACTACACCCAGCTTTCTGATCTGCTTAGTTCAGGAAAGTTTTTTGTTTCAAACACTGTTTTCTCCAGTGGACCTGGGCTCCAGAGCTCAAAAGTCAAGATATCTTGTCAGGAAGCTTCCCTAAGTCCGTGCCCTGTTGAATTAAGGGAAGAAAAGAGCGCAGAGCCGGGGGCGCGGTGGCTGATAGCGCAGTCACCTCAGCAGGCCAGGACTGGCCACCCTGCGCGTGGCTTAGCATTTGCCTTCTTTGGGGCTCACGTCTGCCCGTGATGGAGGAGTGGCCGGAGCCCCGCGCCCCGCGCTGGCTTCCCCATGCGCGTGCCGGGCCTCACCCGCCCTCCCCCCTGTCCCAGACCTGCCCATCAAGGACAGCTTCCTGAACGCCTCCCAGCGCCTGTACGGCAGCCGCCCGCAGGCGCTGAGCAACGACTCCGCCGCCGACCTGGAGCTCATCAACAGCTGGGTGGCCGAGAACACCCGGCACAAGGTCAGCCGGCTGCTGGACAGCCTGCCGCCCGACGTCCGCCTGGTGCTGCTCAACGCCGTGCACCTGAGCGGTGAGGAGGCCGCGGGGTCCCCGGGGTCCCTCCCCTCCCGGCCCGAGTCCCGCAGGCTCACGGCCGGCCTGTCCGCCCCGCAGCCAAGTGGAAGCAGCCCTTCAACCCGAAGAAGAAGAAGGAGTCCTTCCACGTGGGGAACACCGTCATCCAGGTGCCCATGATGTGGAGCAGGAAGCACCCGGTGGCGCATTTCCTCGACCACAACCTGCGGGCCAAGGCAAGTCCGCCGCTGCGACCGGCTGGGCCGCTGCTTCGGGGTGCAGCTCCCCGGCAGACCCAGCCTCTGTGCTCCTCCGCCCCGCGCGCCCATCCCCCCGCAGCCTCGGCCGGAAGTCCTGACTCGGTTTCTCCGCTCTGTGCCGCGGCCATGGCGACAGTCAGTCGGGTTTCTGGTCTGTGCGTGCGGGTCTCTAACGTCAACCTGCCCGGTGAGCCGGTGGCTGCTCAGACTGCGTGAGTGCGCATGTGTGTGTGTGTGTGGTGGTGTAAGGCAAGCATATGTGTGAGCACACGTGTGCAGGAGTCGGTGCATGACTTGTATGCAGTGTTTGCACGTCTTAAATGGTCTAGATGCCTTAGCAGAAACTGAACAATGTAATGGCAGTGATGAGAGCCTGTCATCCCAGTACCCTGGGAGGCTGAGACAGGAGGGTTGCAAGTTAGAGGCCAGTCTGGGCAACTTGGTGACTTAGTGAGACCCTGCCTCAGGTTAAATGCAAAAAAAGGGCTGGGGGTGTTGCTCAGTGTGAAGACCCTGGGTTCAACCCCCGGTCCTGCAAATAAATGAAATAAAGAAGAACTTCAGTGGGTGGGAGAGAGGGAACACGGAGCACGGACCGCAGTGTTTCTGGAGAGAGAGCACCTGAGGCGGTGCCCTGGGCGTGTGCCCCGCAGGGGGCAGACCCAGGTCCCGGAGAGAGAGCTGCAGGGGAGGTGCGAGCCCTGGAGACTGAGGACCCCTGTTACAAGGGCTGCGGGCTCCCCACCCAGAGGGCTCCTTGGCGTCCCTGCCTGGGTCCTCTCGGGCTACACTGGGCACCTTCCTGTGCTCTCCGGGTCCCTGCTGAAGGAGAGGCCCAGGCCCTTCCCCCAGCCAGCTGCTGCCCTGGGACAGCGCACGCTTTTCACCTCCTGGTCCCCTCGCTAGCCGCTCGGCCACCCCTGAGCCATCCCTGCCTCGTGCCCTGAGCCGGGGCCTCCGTCCTTGAGCACAGGGAGCTGTCTGTTTCCTTCTGTGTCCTCGGGGCCTACAACTGGGCCAGGTACGGTCAGGGCCCTGCGCTCTTTGCTGAATGAATAAATAAGTGCACGAAACGGGCTGTCGGGGAGCAACTCACTCCGTGTCAGCAGCTGGAACGTTTCCTGAACATGCTACTTTCCACCGTTCTGTTTTGGTTTTTTGAAACAGGATCTTGCTATTAAACTGGTCTGGAATTCACAGCAATCCTCCTGTCTCAGCCTCCTGAGTGCTGGGATGATAGGCGTGTGCTACCGTACCCGGCCTGTCGTTCCCAAACTTAACGAAATTATCCTGTAACTTTTTGCTTACCAGCATAAAACTAGCATGTCAGACTTGAAAATGGCAAACATTGGGGCTGGGGAGATAGCTCAGTGTCGCAAGCGCCTGTCTGGCAAGCAAAAGGTCCGGAGTTTAATTCCCAGTACCAAAAAAAAAAAAAAAAGTGACAAACATTGTTTTATTCATTCATTCATTCTTGCTAAGATGCTAAGTTGCCCAGGGTGGGCTCAAATTTATAATCAAGATCCTCCTGCCTCAGCTTCCCAGAGTGCTAGGATTAGTTTGAGTTTAACACCTAGGGTTAATATGCTGAAGTTACTTTCCTAAATCTCCCTGGGATTTTAGGATATTTACCCAAGCGAAGGGGTTAGATTTACTGAGATCCCTGGCTTGAAAATTCTAGACCACTGTGGTAAAATTTGGTCAGAGATCGCAGGCTATCTGTGGGACCTGCAAGGCCCACACCCCCAGGTCCCAAGGCTGTTGCTCCGGGGATCCCTTGCCCATCCTCCCCGGTTAGCATCTGTTTGCGACTTGCTTTCCAGGGCTGCTCTAAGGCTCCAGCCACAGGACAGTTTCTGCTCACCCCTTGTTCAGTTCTGCCTTCCTGATTCTTCCTGTTCCTCTTTGGGCCCCACCGCCTGGCCCTTTGACGAGGTTTTCCGCCTTGCTGGGTGACCCCACTGCAGGTTCCTTTTCAGCGTAGGGCTCAGCATCGCCCCCTGTCCCATGCGGTAGACACCAGGAGAACGCCTTGAGCAGTCTCGCAGCCCCGCCAGCTGTGGCAGCCAAAGCATCGATGTCACCAAATATTCTCTAGGGGCAAACTCACCCGGGTCAAGGACCCCTGAATTAAGACCATGGGTCCTGAGCCAGGCGTGGTGGCACACACCTGTCACCCCACCACTCAGGAGGCTGAGGCAGGATGATCCCTGTGAGTTCAAGGCCAGCCTGGGCTCCACAACGAGACCTTGTCTCTAAACAACAACAAAACTAGAGGCCACTCTGGGGGCATGGCGAGGGCGGGAGAGAGCTGGCGGGGCTGACCGGTGCCCTTCGGTTCCCAGGTGGGGCAGCTGCAGCTCTCCCACAACCTGAGCTTCGTGATCCTGGTGCCGCAGAACCTGGGGCAGCCCCTGGAGGAGCTGGAGCGCAGGCTCAGCGCCACACTGCTTAGGGCCATCATGAAGAAGCTGGAGATGTCCAAGTTCCAGCCCACGTACCTGATCATGCCGCGGGTCAAGGTGACCAGCACCCAGGACCTGCTTCCCATCATGGAGAAGCTGGGTGAGGCCTGCAGGGAGCTGCGGGGTGGTGGGCGAGGACAGGCCTTGTCTCCAAGGGCAGTGGCCATTCTGGGGTGTATTTTTGTTTTCCATTTCACTTACTTTATTTACTTGGGAGTTTTGAGACAGGGTCTCACTATGTAGTTCAGGTGAGCCTGGAACTTTGCAGCGACCCTCCTGCCTCAGCTTCCCGAGTGCTGGAATGACAGGTGTGCACTGCCATGCCCGGCTTCTAGAGTGTTTTTTACATCCGCAATCTCAGGTCACACTCGATCCTGTGGGCTTTAGGGCAGATGCTTGTAGCCCCCTGGGTCACTGAGGAAACTGAGGCTCAGGGACTTCACATGGCTCACCCCAAGTGTCCGAGCCTGACCTCAGCCAGTTCGGGGCAAAGCAGAAGGTGGTCCGCATCTCCAGCGCACAAGGCTCACTGTGACGTTGCTGCCTCAGGTGACCAAGGGGGTGGGGGTGGATGTTCCTTCACAGACGCACCTGTGACCATCCCCACCCCACGGATGTGCCGGGGCCTCCTGGGGGTGCGATCTGGAGACCTCGTTCAGCTTGGTTTGGTTTTATGATCTCTCTTATTCTTTTGTCTTTTTGAGACAGGGTCTCGCTATGCAGTTCAGGCTGATCTTGAGCTCACTTTGTAGCCCAGGCTGGTCTCAAACTTGCAACGATCCTCCTGCCTCAGGAGAAGGTATTATAGGTATTACCTCCAAGTGCTGGTATTATAGGCATGTGCCACCACACTCGGCCTGGTTTGGTTTTAGGATCCAGGGTCTTTCCACTGAGCTACATCCCCAGCCTTTTTTCTTTCTTTCTTTTCTTTTTTTTTTTTTTTTTTTGAGACAGGGTCTCACCATGTAGTTCAGACCAGCCTTGAACTCACTGTGTATCCCTGGCTGGCCTCAAAGTCACAGCAATCCTCCTGCCTCAGCCTCCCGAATGGTGAGATTACAGGCTATACCACCATGCTCAGCTCTGTTTTTTATTTTGAGAGAGTCTCACTAAATTGCCCAGCCTGGGCTTGATTTGAGATCCTCCTGCTTCAGCCTGCAGACTGCAGGAATTACAGGTGTGTGCCATGCCTGGCCAAAGCTCCCCAGTTTGAAGAGGTGATGAAGCCCCCATTTCCTGAACTTTGACCTCACGTCTAGATCCTTCTCTTCATTTCCCACTGCAGGACTTGCCTGCCGAGTACAAGGTCTTGTTTCCTAGCAGAAGTTTTTCCACTCCAGCCACAGCTGTGTTCGGACGTTTGCCCTGCCCCATGCAAATCTCCCGTTTTTGCAGAGACAAACCAGGTTTTCTCTAATCCCAGTTGATTCCAACCCGGCCTGCCTGACACAGCCTCAGACCCCAGAGTCAGAGCTTTGGGCCCGTAGACTGGAGCCCCGCAGACATCAGGCACAGACTGGTTGTGAACTGGAGCTTCTGGCGGGGCCTCCCCGGGTCAGGCCTCTCTAGAACGGCTGGCAGAAGCCAGGGAAACCACTTTTGTTTACTGCTGTGTTATACAAGGAGTGATCCAAATGTGCGGCGAATGTTTAAGTGTATTACGGTAGAACGCGTGCGGCCCTGAACCCTCCTCAGAATCCACCCTTAAGCACTCATCCCATCCCTCTTGCCACCTCCTGCAGCAGTTCTGCAGGTTCTCTTTCCTGAGTGTCTTCTTGAGGCGTGATCAAAAGTACATGAACGCTCCCGCCGAGCGCCACCCGGCGGAAGCGCAGCTCGGAAACGCACGAGGCTGTGTCCCCATCCACCTTATTCAGTGTGTCTGGCGCCACGCGACCTCTGGCTCTTCCCCAAAGTCAAAATGGCCATGAAAGAGAAACGCTTTGGATCGATTCAGGACATCGAGGCAGCCAGGACAGGGCAACTAAAGACCCTCCGGAAAGAGGACTCCAGAGCTGCTGCAGAACGTGGCCGGACGGTGGGATGAGTGTGCTTGAAGTGAAGAGGATTCTCAGCAGCGTGTGTTTTGCTGTAATCTTGTTTTTTTTTTTTTAATTTTTGTATCAGGACCTGAACTCAAGACCTTGGGCTTACCAGGCAGGCACTGCACTGCTGAGCTATATCCCCAACCCTCTATTTTTTTTTTTTTTTTTTTCCGGTACTGGGAATTGAACTCATAACCTTGCACTTGCCAGGCAGCCGCTGTGCCGCTGAGCTAAATCACCAGCCCCTATTTTTTTTTTTCAAATTGAAGCACTCAGTGATTTTTTTAATCATGCCTCCTATAACACGGTAGGCTGAGATAGCTAACCAAGCAGGGAGGAGGTGGGCAGGACAACATTATGCCCCGGGCGGGCGCAGGCCCTCCTGTCTCGAGGTGCCCGTGCACGCAGGGAGCCCTCAGGTCCTGCGCCCAGGGATCTGTGTGGCGGCCTTGCACACAGGCTGTAATTCACTGTCCCCTGAGCTAGAAGTGGGGCTCCCAGCTCCCAGCGCCCAGGGACCACCTCATCTTCCAGGCGCTCAGACCCCACCCAGGAACGCAGCAAGAGCCACCTCACTGGAAGAAAAGATAAAGACAGCCCTGTCCCCCTGGGCCCAAGGGACCCAAGAGTTCCTTAACCAGCAACCAGGGCAACACCAAATATTAGAAGCAAAGCTGCGCCTGGTGCCCCTACTGCTAAGGAATCCCAAGAATTTCTGGAGCTCTGGGTCAGGAGCTTCGGGCAGAGAGCGCTGCTGGGATTTCTTGGTCTTCACAGCACTGCACCTTGTGTGTGGCCTCCTTAAACAGCACGAGACCGAGCTCTGATAGGTGACTCCTTTTCCACCATGGCTGGACTCCAGGAAGTCTTGACATCATTATTCAGGGGTTGAGGTGCGGGGGGACTCTCAGCCCTGACAGACAGTGATGGTTCTGATTCAAGGGACCCACAAATGGAAAACGGCTAAGCCAGGCCTGGTGGCGCACGCCTGTGATCCCAGCACTTGGGAGGCTGAGACAGGAAGATCGCTGTGAGTTCAAGGCCAGACTGAACTGCATAGTGAGATCTTGTCTCAAAAAACAAAGACAAAAGAAACGGCAGAAGGCTGCTGTGCAACCTGACAAGCTAGGGAGGAGGAGGCAGCGTGTGGGAAGCGGGAGGAACCCGGAAAATGCAAGGCAAAGGTCTCCCCCAGCTCAGGGTTTCGTGGGAGGCTCTGACTCCGATCTCCTCCCACTGTGCCCTAGAATTCTTTGACTTCACCTACGACCTCAACCTGTGTGGGCTGACGGAGGACCAGGACGTGCAGGTATCGGAGATGCGACACCACACCGTGCTGGAGCTCACCGAGGCCGGCGTGGAGGCGGCCGCCGTCTCCGCCATCTCCGTGGCCCGCAACCTGCTGACCTTCGAGGTGCAGCAGCCTTTCGTGTTCTTGCTCTGGGACCAGGACCACAAGTTCCCCGTCTTCATGGGCCGGGTCTACGACCCCACGGCCTGAGAGCCGAGCTGGGGTTGGGACCTGTCCGTGTACCCAGGCCTCAGCGCGCCCGGGCTGCCCTGCTGCTGCCTGAGGGCCCCCTTGCTTCTGCCAGCCCCTCACGGCCCTGCCATGCTCTGCAAACCGCTGTTTGCAGCTTTCTCTGGCTCAAGTTTACCAGGCCCTACAAATAAAACCTGGCCAACCACGACTTCCTCTCTCCTTAGCCTTTGTGTATCAAGTGCCTCAAGTTTATAGGACAATAAGCTGGATGTGGTGGTGCATGCCTTTAATCCCAGCACCCTGGGAGGCTGAGGCAGGAGGACTGCAAGTTCAAACCCAG